CCCGTTCCCCCTACCTTTGCATTCCGGCGCTGCTTCATTCTCACCTCATACCGACCATCCGTGGAGCAGTCAGTTGGTGAGCCGTCGGTCTGGGATGCGGGAAGTTCTGTGTTCGAATCCTAGGTTAGGCAAGAGTGTTAGTTTAAGTTAGGTTATAAGTTAGTTTGTAGGCCGTCCCGTGATAAGCCATTCAGGCATAGCACCGGCCGGGGGACGATAATAAACCATTTCTAACACTATCCATTCTCACCTCATTTTCACCCCCATCGGCTCTCAAGACGTCGTTGATAAGAGCCGCCCAAATCTCTCTCAACTCTTGTAAGGTCCAGTGAGGTCTCTGGTGTTGTGACAGTGCTAAGTCCTAGTGTCCGAGAGAACTGACTAACTTGACTCCGGAAAGGTCAGGTGACGCACCATTTATAGAATTTTCTCGGTCAGGTAACAATCAGGCTCTAACATACACGTAGGATAAGCGATATTCTCAAAACATACGCGTCAGATACATACAAAACTACTCAAGGGTCTTGTATTGAACCTTCCTACCCATGTAGCAAACCACATATGGCCCATTGATGGTCTACAGTCGGATGTCAAGCCGACAAACAGTTGGCCAACAGCTGGCATGCACCCGGCACCATTGCTGGTCCTGAAGTGGCACCACTAACTAGCCATACTCTGTCCATAGCTGGTTCAGGTGTGGTGAACATAAATGATCCAAGCATGGCCCATATTCTTACAACAGCAATGGCCCATCGATGTACCATTTCACAGCCATCGTAGTATGTACGTCACCTGATGCCATTCGTCTGTTTTGAAATGCAGTCGCCAATTGTGAATATTTTCGTGATGTGAAACAACAAAAGCCCTTCAATGTTGATTTTCTAAAGGTGGTTATACATTGTTTTTTAAATTCTCATTTTAATTATATGCAGTCTTCGTGTAAAACATTACATGAGTCAAATTATTCAATGTCACACGTAATACTGCATTTATAGCATTTTGCCATAGATATTTCCATCAATAAATATTTACAAATAATGTACTCATTGTATTATACGATCTATAATTATATTAGATACACACATATATACATATATGTGTGTGTGTAGTTTGAGAAGCTATCTGTGAAGAGTGTGAGCCATAAAAATTCCGATAATAAGCCAAATTGCAACAGCAATTGTCCATTAAAAAAAACCGCTTCACAGCCATCAAATGGCCTATAGATGGCCACCCATTCTTTTACCAGCAATAGGTATACGTTATGTGCTGCCATTGCTGGAATACAGTTGGCAAGCCATTTATGGGCCATTAATAGGTCGCCTAATCTCAACCATCAGTTTCATTTCCATCAAGATTCCATCAGTGAGCCATAAATGGCATGCCAAGTGTCTTGGTGCCAGCAGTTAACCATAGCAGGGCAAGTTGTGTAAACCCATAAGTTTTCTGGGCCAGAAGTAATCCAGCAATGCCATCAGTAAAACTAAAGTCGGCCGACTGTCTCTTAAGTGCACGAAACACTACAGTGAAGTGCCATCAATGGCCCAAAAAAAAATTGATAAGTTAAATGCTGCCAGTGCTGGAATACAGCTGGCAAGCTATTTGTGGATCATCAAAAGGCTACCCACTCTCAGCCATCAGTTTCATTTCCACCAACATCACATTAAAGTGCCATTGATGGCATGACAAATGGCCTGTTGCCAGCAGTCAGCCATAACGGGGCTATTTGTGTAAACACATAAGCATTAAGTGCAAGCAGTCATCCAGCAGTGCCAGCAGTAAAACCACAGTCAGCCGACTGTGGCTTGCAACACGGGTAAAAACTAGCCACCAATAAAATAATAGGATCACTGCTTAAAGTCGCATAGGCACACACACTGCACGCCAGTTCAGAACTTTGCGCTTAGAGGCGACAGTGCACTTGATGCGCGTAGCAGTGTCGTCCTTATTGCTCCCACTCTTATCGGTCTCAAGCGCGGGAAAACCCCCCAAGTAGGTGGGAGTTTTAAAATGAAAGACTGCTACTTCGAGTGGTCTATATGCCACTTGTATTTGTGCTAATACGTAAAGTGGTATTCTGCCAATGAAGCATGGTCTAACAGTCAGCACCTAGCAGGCTAGATCGCGGGTTTAAATGTTGGACTATTGAGCAATAAAGGATAAACTGCTGTAAAACTAAAGGAATTCGTCGGAAATTCAACAAGCGCCACAAGACGAGCGGTTGGCCGTATTCGAAGTTTTCTCTTACGGCCTATCAATTGAGACTGAACTGAGTTGAAAAAATGTTGAGGAAAAACGCTCTTCCAACGACTGGTCGGCACAGTGAGTTCCGAATCTGTCCTGAGGGTCTCGTTACGAGATGGATAGTAACAGGTGGCGTACGAGTGCTTCAGACTGGGGCTTTGTTTTCCAGTCTACTAATGTTTTAACCAGACGAGAATTGAGATTGTAACTGAATACCCTGCTGATAGGGATGAGAATTGATTTTAGCTCGACACGGAAATCATGTGCGCCTCGGGGAATGCTTTACCAATGAGTCGGTGAATATCTGTAACAGTCGTTTTAGAATGCTGCTTATATTCATATTATTCAATGTTACACTCGTCATCAACACTATCACACTCACGAATTGCAGATATAAGTTTAGGTTTGCAACTAACTCGATAAACGTGTCTATCTGTGGATTTAACCACTTCTTGGTATATGTATTAGCCATTCACATTTTGACAGTTACCAATATGAAATGTTACAAGTATCTGTAATGAACATTACTATTTGCCCCAGAAATATCATGTTGAAATAATTATATGTCGTATTCAAATAAAACCACACTCCCATACTAGAATTAATGTGGTTTGTAGTTAGGTCAGGTATTGTGTCGTACCTTCATGGGCATATCTACTAGTTTTAAATATACCAAGTATCTTTAAAGTAATAGATCTCTCGTGGCAGCAGGGCACACACAGTTTAGGCCAAGGCTGGTGGTATCCTAATACCCTGACAGCAGGAACACAAGACTGCAGCCCAGTGTCCAAACTTGACTAACATTCACGAAAGTCTGCAGGGAAGAAGTAGAAAAAATGTGGGCTAGAAATGGATGGGAGGTCGCGACTCTTCTCATTGCAGCAGCATTACAACAGAGAACTGTCCTCCAGTCGCCAAACCGGCAAGAATTACACGTCGTAGAGAATTCCGGCGGAAAGTTCACGTTATCCTACAATTTGCAGCAATGATGTCATGGATGTTGACTTGTGCGACCGGTACATTATGGGCTGATCGATGGCCATACACGTTAGAACGCCACTTTTGTGGAGAGGAGGCAATACTGGTGATTGTTCACATCAACTTCCGTCGCCTCATAATCTGTGTGAACGAAACATTGATCAGTGCGTCGGACGCACGTTCAATAATTTCGTAGAAAAAAACGTGTCTTTCGAACACACTGCAGCGCAGTTTAAAAATGGGATGGACCACTGCGTTCTTTGTGAAATAGTTGTTCGCGCGAATACGCGTATCTCGGTAAATAAATGTTGTGCAAATACAACTTTTTAATCAGAAAAGATAAAAAAAACAACTATCTATGTCCCTATTTTTTTTAATTTTGTCATATTAAGTGTATTCTTGGATTTTGGAGAAAAAAATTCGTGGAAATGGTCAAATATCGCATTTTTAAAGCTTACCTATACAGTTTCCTTAAACAGCAAGAGAAAGGTACAAATATACAGGCGTAGTTTAATCTGTGGTCTTTCATCGCGTGTAATAAAACCTCACTGTTATAGATCTAATTTGCACAGTACATCGTTACGACGAAGACACTGCACGCCTTGTGCGTAGGATCGATGAGGCACTAGGCGTGCGTGTTAGTGTTGCCCGTATCGCTCCCTCGTTTCTTGACTTTGGACGTGGGGTCCATACCACGAAGGACCAGGTAGGCGGGGACTTTAGTAGCGCTTTTAGAAGTGCTCAGTTTGCAGTGAACAGCCTATACTACAACGCATTCACAATAACACCCTTTAAAATGTTTAGATCTTTCCTGGCCAACGATATGTTTTAAGTTTAGATTTTTTTAAATATAAAAGCGCGCATATTACGGAAAATTTAAAGTAAGCAGATGTCGACATCAGTTTTTGAACCACGGAACTTTGACAGTTGTGCTGACAGTAGGTGGATATCTGTTGGGCGCATGCTTAGAAGAGAAACACTGGTGCAGCTCGTCTCCAATGGGTGAGCGCCTGTGACCATAGAGTAAATAAGGTGTATACCACAGTGGCAACAGCAATGTTATTGAGCGGTGGTTTTTTTTTGGCCCTCTCCACGCACACCAACTTAGTCGGCACAACTACTGCATCACTTCGATCTACAAAGTTGGCGTTACTGAGTACTTGCAGCGCTCCTGGCGGATGTACCATGAACTTCTTAAAACTGCAGTACTAATATTATTATAAACACACGCGCCGTTCAATATATTTAGGAAATTTTAACATTTGTGGATCACCTTCAACAGCGTAATAAAATTAATTATGGGTGGGATCAGAAGATTACGATGTTCTGCGTAAATCAGTGAGAATGCATAATTTTTTTAGAAATCTATAAAATACTTAATCTCCCGCAGTGTAACAACTACGAAACAATTTGTAATTGCTTTAATGGGTATCAAAATATTTCATTTCAATGAAAAAATTAGCGACCTGTTGTTCCCTATTCTATGAACACCCCCAGTCCGTGACTGCAGTGAGCGGAGGAAGCTTAACGCCTCCGGCCCGAGGCGAATGTTCTCAGTGCGCATGTGCGGGGCTGCTCATCTTCAGACATCATCCCCTCTCCTCCACCCCCTCTCCAGGGCTGAGGTTTACGATAGCAGGTTTATCGGCAGCCACCGCCGCCGCCACGTCTGCTGTATACGACCCCCCCCCCCCTGGCCTTCACCCACCTTTTTTTATTTTACCCATCTCCCTCGCAACGACCCCGGCGCAGGTTCTCATGGCCGTTCGACCGGGTCGTGACGACGTAGCCGGGACTCGAACCCGGGCCTCCCGCTGCTTGGTTGTCGCGGCCGGGCTTTGAACCGACACCCTGCGCCTCTCTTCCCCCTCCCCCAACCCTCCGCGCCGGCTTCGTCAGCTCCCACACAAGGTGGAGATGCTTATCAACGTCGGCGGTGAGACGAAACGGCTGTGTAAATCTTGCTTCACCTGTTCCCGATCACCCTGGAGCCGCTCATGTGCTGTTGCGCCGCCAGCTAGAGAGTGGGAGAGGAGGAGGATCCACTCGGTGTAGGGGGAGAGTCAGGGGGCAGGAATGCGACAGTCTCGGAGCAACACGGGGCCAAGCGACACTTGAACATCGTCAACTTGCCATCCTGTAACAAATACCTAATCCGATGTTTTGAGCATACAACTTGTACAATTACGACTTCCAGGGGGGGGGGGGATCCATATTTAAGCACTCCCTTGCAGATGTTATCAGTTAGCAAATATCGAAAGCGAAACCGGACTGTAATTCTCACTAACGACCTCGGAATGCGTAGTCGATTAATATCAACTTTAATTATGTATATGTTATTTGGTGCATTTGATGCAGTGGGTATTTGTATTTAGTTACATTAGAAGTACTACTCAATGAAATCAAAACAGGCAATGAATTACCAACTACTAACAATTTAATGCCGCTAACATAATCATAAAACTCCAAACAGGTACGCAATCTCTCGTTCGTCTTTTAATCAAGTAATGTTTGATGTACAGACCTCCCAATGTTCTGGAATATAAATATCTCAGGTGTAGGCGTATAAGTTCAGTCCGTTAATCAAATAAATTTAATAATAAACATTCCTTTCCGAGTAGCCTTTATCCTATGTCAAGAATTAATGTAGTAGAATTTTCTCTTGGCTGGGAAAGAGAATTAAACCAAGGTTTTGAGTAACTTACTTCGATAGCAAATAAAAAATTTCCAGAAGAAATGAAACCACAATACTATAAAAGCACTGCTTCTAAAGAAAATTTCAGCTAACAAATACAAAACTATACCTCAATACACAACGTAAATTTCGTCTAAGTGTATGTCTGCAGTGTATGTTCATTATATCTTACCGGCAAAATTGTTGAATCAGTGTGAATAAATTTTTGCATCTTTGTTCTTCGTGATGTGCCTGAAAATACATTGTCACAATTAAAACTATTTAGGTTTTTGAATATGAATATATATTTTTCTTTTTACAGTAAGTTTTGTATATTTGAGATATATCATCAAATGCCCATCTAGTGAAAGCGAAAAAAAAAAAATCAAATGTGAAAACTAAAACTAACCGACTTACTAGAATTCTAGTTGTATTTCTTACACCAAACATATTTCAGAATAACACACATAGAGTATTTGACAACTGCTCGAAAAAATGTTAACATTACAAAAATTTTGTATAGAAATTTTCTGCAAATTCCTAATGAAATTCGTCAATAAGTCCATTAAATTTGACGGTAAATATAAAATTAAAACTTTAGAAGTTAATGTACAGTTGGAGGCTATCAAATGTCTTATTTTACAGAAATTCTTATGTAGTATTCGAATGCTTCCAACGAACATTTCAGCTAAGTTAAATGACTGGTTTTTCTCCTCATTTCTCGGCATTAATCTATAGGATGACTTGTAATCAAAATATTCATAATTACTTTTTAATATGGTGGCGTTAGCTATTTGTCATTGTTTTGGTATTATAGCCGAATTACTGTTGGTATTAAGTTTAAAAACATAACATCCCCACAAAACCTTTTAAACAATGCAAATTGAACGCACTTAAAGACTGAGTGTGTGGTCACGCGGCAAAGTCTTTGGATCGCATTTGGGAGGTCGCGTGTTCGATCTCAGCTGGTTGCAGTAAGGGACTGTCTACCTAAATAATTTTCCAACGCCTTTACCAGGCATATAATAGCACTTTTCCGTAATACGAGCCGATCATTTCCCCCATTAATGCGAGTTCCTAATTAGCTTCTTCGCGCGAAAGTAAGTAACCAAAATTCCACACACTGTTGCATTTTTAGCCTACTTTCCAAAGGAAAGAAAAGCTCATGAGATCAGTTTTCTGTCTGCGCGTTTGTGTGTGTATATGTATGTATCCGGGTATATATGTGGGTGTTTGTGTGTATGTGTATGTATCCGGGTGTATATGTGGGTGTTTGTGTGTATGTGTATGTATCCGGGTATATATGTGGGTGTTTGTGTGTATGTGTCAATTTTTGAACGCTTGAACCGAATTTCACCATACTCGGTACATATTTTACGTTATCGGAATCTTCAGTCTAAGAGCGAACGCTCATTAATACCTCCAACCACAATTAAAATAACAGGGGTGGCCACCCTCTTATTGAAGGAATTATGAACGTTTGATGCCAGTTTATTGAACAGTACGGCCTAATTAACAAAAATTGTTCTTATGCTGCAACTGCTAAGGACCCACAGTTTTCGTGTAAAACGCACGTAAGGCTTCTGCTTCAGCGATTCAGCGCCAACCTACATTCGTGTATGGTAGGCTGCTGTACCCACTGCAAAGACGATGGAAGAGGACATTTATAATGCTTACGAACTTTCGGGCGTGTTTCACACGAAGGCGGTTAGTCCTGGCAGTTGCAAGAGCAAGGTCACTTTCGTTAATAAGGTCATACTGCTTAGCATTAAACGTCCATTAAGCCAGATGTTATATGCTATTTACGATCAAATGAGTACTTTTGAAAACCCTGCTTAGCATCTACTTGTATGCACGTTGTGTATTTTTCGCCATATGTAAGATTAGCATTCTCATGGGCGTTACCACTTTATTCATGTGTCGGTCAAGTGAAACTGTGACATTATTAGAAAAGAAAGTATCTAACAAATCTGGTATTTTTTCACTTCGATGCATTAAAGAAAACATAAAGCGAAATAAATTAAGTTAACAGAAATGCTTACCTAACACATTTTATTCGACGTTAAGATACGGAACTAATATCCTATCCATTACTACCAACTTAACTGAGCACATGTCACTCAGGGCGCCCGTTAAAATATATTCAGGTTGGAGCAGTGTCTTTTTTTCTAAGGTTGATATCGAAAGTGCTCACTTTATCGTGAACAGCCTTTAAAAAAGTTGTCTGCAATATTAGAGTGGTAATATCTGTTAGTCTCATTACGATGGGAGGTATTAATAACAGTTCGCTCAAGTGTTGAATATAGGTAGGTAGTTGGGCTGAACGTCTCGTCTCGAGAGCGAAGTCATTAGAGACGGAGCAAGTTGCTAAGGGAAGAGGGATTGGGAAGGAACCGGCAATGTCCTTTAAGGACTCATCGCAGCATTCGCCTGGAGTGATTTCGAGAACACACGAAAAACCAAAATTAGATGGTCTGGACCGGAAATCGAACCCGGGTCCTCCCGAATTCGATTCCAATGAGTTACCACTGCACCACTCCACTGGTCTGTTGTGTTTAAGGTTCGGTTAATATAAGACATTTCGGAGGATTGCACTTTAGTTTTACTTCATTTCAGATATTTCCCAGGAATAAAGTTAAAAATTTTCTTTTTCGAGGGTTAATATCTCAGTTAATGTTCAGTTTAGGTAAAAAGTGTCTCATACATTTCCCACTTGATTTTACATTAGGAATCACCGCACGAATTTTGTTGGTCGAATTCCGCCCCACTCTGTATATCATTTCCTACGATCATCCTCAGTCGAAATTTCACAGCCGTTTCAAATCACTCTAATAAATAATACACAGGGCTTGTGTGCTTTTCAACAAGACATGATGTCAATCAAGGGATGGAAGGAAAGCATTGGCGGAATGTATATTGACGTGAAAAAATGGAAGTCATCTGAGGAAATTTGTCTTTTCCAATTCTTTATTCAACATTACACAACAGGGTCAACATTTTTGATGGCCAACCGAAAAATTAGAAGCGTGTATGTATCTCACTGAATCAGAAACAGAAAATAACAGTTGTAAAATATAAATTATTTAGGCCATCAATGGTTTTGAAATACTTAACAGAGAGAGCAAATGTCGGGCGTCTGTGACAAGGATTCAAATTGTGATGTATCTGTACTATACGTGTAGACATAGTCAGTCAGAACATATATCTTCTATTACGTTACGTCTTCTTGTGAATCAGGAACAATAGATATCACCCATCCTAGTAATCATTAAATTATGAATGAGATTTGTTTTATAAATAAGACTCAACATTCAATTATCATTAATACCTCAAACGTGTAGCATTACTATTCCTGAATTTAAAAAAGTAGATTAACTGATCTTTACTCACTGATTTATTGGTTACTTAATAAGGAACATCTTATTAAACACTCATCTGGACAGGAAGCAATCTGTTTTGCGATAAAAATTGCCCCATCCAACCAAACACTTAATCACACCTTTGTAACGAACGGCCAACATATCTCCTCGCAGATTATATCATTACAATAAGTGGCCCATAACACAAACATTTTTAATTGCCAGTCTTGGCTAGCCAAATTATTGCACCATTAACGGCGGCGAAGAGAGATCATGTTAATGGTGGTCAGACACGCATGTGCTCATTTCTTCCAAACTTGAGACCATTCACCAGAAACATCATTAGCTGAGGCTATATTTCCTTCTTGTAAATATGTGACGACAGAGATTTCATGTAGAAATGTGTGCAACTAGACTACATGCAACACAGTTGCGTTTCTATGTTGCCAAGTTTATGGGCACAAGACGTGAGTAATTCGACCCTACAGCTTTATAGATTACCTTTAATCAAGGGACAATTTGAATGCCAACTACGTGATTAAAGACAACTGCAAAAAATTCATCTGAGCTGTTTATATCAAGCCAAGAAGTTACAAAAGTGGCATTCAATACATCATTTTGGGGTGGCAGATAGCTGGAAATAATTTGAATTTTATTTTCACTATTTATAACAGTATGCACAATTCAAACACAAAAAAAAATATTGTTGCACGTGTACTACAAGATAATTTTGCGTGGTTGATTTATAGTTTAGTTCATCTTTAAGTAGAACTGTGAGTGGGTTTTTGTACATGATGTATTTAGTCCAATTACGTTAATAATTGA